GCCGCGCCGCGTGCGTCCTCCAGCTGCTGTGTCTGCAGCGCCCGCCGCCTCAGGTGCAGCGCGGTGAGCGGCGTGAGGAAGCCGCGGGCCACGGCCAGAGTCCGCGCGCTCTGCCCCAGGCGCTGCTTCTCCCGCTCGTCGCCGCTGTGGCGCCAGGAGCTCAGCAGCTCCTTCAGGGTCAGGTAGCTCCAGAGCCGCTCCACGTGGTTGCGGCCCTCGGCGCCCCCGCCCCTGCCCGCCTGGTGGGGCTCCAGGGGCACGTCGGTCTTCAGGAGGACGAACCTCTGGCTGTTGCTGGCCGTGACCTCCACGTGCAGCCGCCCCGCCTGGCTGTCGGCCAGCTTCCCCGCGGTGACGATCTCCGAGCCGTTGAAGTAGTTGGGGAACACGGTCCTGGTGGCGTGCTCCACCGAGGCCGGCGGATAATCCACGCGGATGTCCGAGAGCAGCGGGGTCCTGATCTCATCGTAGAACCTGCGGTGGAAGCACAGAGACGGAGAGTCGATGATACTCATTCAAGCATCCCGAGCTGACTGGCCTCTCGGTGACTTTCCTTTGTACACACCTCCGTTTCTCAAAGAGCCTCTTAAAACATTCTGAGAACGAAACACATATTCCAGGTGCACTTTAAGTAGCCCATTATCCTTGAGAAATCTCATCTTGACTCTGATATTAAGCTTGTGGGTAAGGCCTCATTTCCTTGCTTTAGCTTTTCTCCTGGTTGTTACAGGTTGCTTTTTGCTGAGTAAGGGGACAATCAAAATCCCCCTTCCAAAGAGCTAGACAGCACGGCTGCGGAAGCCAGCTCAGCCACTTCCTGGCTGTGTGTCTTGGGACATGTGACGTAGCCTCTCTGAACTTCGGTTTCTTCCTCTATAAAGTTGGAATGTTGAAGTAACTGCTCTGGTAGATTACCAGCTGTCCCCTCAAGCTCAGTCTCCCCTTCTTTCCTGAGTTCTACCCATCCAGGTATCAACCACATTTCTTAGCCTCTGCTCTGGCCAAATATGGCCATGTTCTCACCAACAGAATATAAGTAGAAATGGTAAGTACAACCTCTGCAATGCTTGCTTGAAATAAAATGGCTTCTTAGTCTGGTTTTCTTTTCTTTCCCCCTTTTTGGGGCCAGAATATAGATGCGATAGTGACCTAATTTCAACCTTGCAGCTAAAGACGACACCTGAGGGGTGCAGAGCAACCAAAGGGAAGGAACGGGAGTCTCTGAGCGACTTCAGGGAGCAGAATCTAGTGTGTCCAGACATTACAGGAGAGGGTCATCTGCATGGCAGCTTTGCTTGGATCCTACTATACCTGCTCCTAGGCTTTCTGTGAGGCTCGCCAGAGACAACAGATGCAGGAAAGCCTGGCGCATCATAAGTTCTCGATAAATGTTGGGTATGGATGATGGTTTTGGTAATATGACAGTGGTTGGTTTGTTTCAATGTCACTGCTTTTGTTTTTGAGAGCATTATTAAATCTTAATATACAGTGCACTAGATTCTGCCTCTTTGAATATAGTTTTGCATAATTTTGAAAATGTGGGAAGCAAATCTGTCTTTTTATTTAAATCTTTGACCGAAATCCTGGGGGCTGGGAGAACGGTGGCTATCCTCATACCAAGGAGCCACCTTTACGGCCCACCTTAGAGACCTCCAATTAGAATGCATATTCCTTGAATATGGCTATTAAACAGCTGCGAATCTACCCAAACCTCACTTTTCCTTTGAAGTATCTACTATACATGCTGTAAAGAAGAACCAAGCACATCATGTCAAACGGAGAGTCAGCACTTCCTCGAATCAACAGCGAAGTCATACTCTGTGTTTGGCAACATGACAGCTGTGGGAAGGCTCCAAACGGAGTTAGAAAACCTAAGAGCTAGTTTCTTCTCCACCTCAAAACAGTAAGAGAATCAGCGGCCGGTTTTAACCAGGACACAAAATGGAGACAGCACTACATCTCCTACGTACACCTCAGCTGAATTAACGCAAACACACTAGACAGTGTACCAGCAACTATGCTAGAAGTGTCGAGAAGACGACAAGCTAACTGAACACCTAACATGCAACAGCCATCCTGACAATACTTGACACTGGTTTTGTCATTCAGTTGTCGACTGACCATAATCCTCATTTTACAGATGAGGAAAGTGAGTAACACTGGCTTCGGTTTTGCCTAAAGTCACAAAGCAGGGCCCAGCATCTGAACCAGATCGACCTGGGTTAAACACCCCTTAGGACGTCTCCCAGTGTACTGAGTTATGACCCCACCACCCTCCACCCCCTTCTGAGAGCCCCAGTCTCCCTGTCTCGAGAGGACAGATGTACGGACCCGATGAGCTGCGAGCCCGCGTCGTCCTCCTCAAGAACTCGCCGTGTGAGGCCACAGTTCTCCAGTGACAGTTTCTCCAGCAACATGAAGTCCACGTCATCCCCGATGCCGATGGTGAAGATGCAGATTTGGCCTCGGGCGGCCTCCTTGGTGTTGTTGAGAATCTTGAGGGTGTGGGTCTCCCCAACGGTGGGCTTCCCATCGGTCAGGAAGATGATGAGGGACACGCTGTGGTCTTCGATGTCGTTGTGGGCCACATAGTCGTTGAGCAGCTTGATGCCCCTCTGCAGGGCCCCGTTGATGTCTGTGCCTGGGGAACACCAAAACGCACCCCAGCTCAAGCCTGTGTGCCTGCCTCCTTCACCTGGGCTCACGGTCAGGGTGATGCTTTACCCACCACTGTTCGAGCGGTAGCAGGAGGACGTGCATGGGGAAAGAAGTCACCTGGACCTACAGGGTGATGCCAGCCTATTTAGACACTTGGTAAGGGTTTGCTAAATGAATGGGAAAGGCCTGGAATTATCCCACTGTATGGCCCTTCTCCTGAATGCATCTGACAGCACCCTGGCTTAGAAATCTTCAGTACCTTAGCATCAATTGCTCCTACTCCTTTCCTGGGACTAGCTTTGCAAAGGGCAGGAGGGGTTTAGGTAGAGGAATCTGGAGGGAGGGCGAGTCCCAGGGGGAAAGAAAGGGCACTCACTTTAGGTACACACTTAATTACTTTTAGTAAATTTATAAAGCTGTATACCCATCACCACAATCCATCACCCAGTCTGGAGTGATTTTTATCTACCCGCAAAATGTACCATGTTTGAGCGAACCAGGTGATTTCTCCCCACTGTTTCACATTCTCCAGAATTTCTGGCTAAAAAAAAAAAAAAAAAATACATGTCTAGTCTGTGCAAACACACTGAGAATTCGGAGATGCACACAGATTCTGAACGTAAGGGAAAGTTACAGCTGAAACAGTATTTACCATTTCTTTGGGCTCATTAATTTGCCTTTCTGAATGCCCAGCCTAGTTTCAGCTGACCTCTGGATGTATGAGCCTGGACAAAAAGGCAGATGTTTATTTTCCCTTTAATCGAGAAGTTGGCAATGGTGCCAAATTTTTTATTCCACTTTAAGGCCAAGGGGAGCCCAGGCAAAGGGACAGACTTAGCTTTCCTAGTACCAGGCACCAAGGCACAGCAGGGCGTGGAATCAAGCCTGTGCGAGGCCAGGGCATGTCCCATGCTCTTAAGAACAGGGGGGGCACGCTCCACAGGGAGACCCCCACAGAGCTGCCCCAGCCATCCTGCCGAGAGCCCCCCGGGTCAACAGAGGACCCAAGTGCACCAGCAAGAGGGACTACATGGGTGAAAATGGCTATGTCTGACTCTGAAAGAGGACTTCCCATGTGGCAGCCACTGTTCTAAGCACTTCAGATATTTTAACTGATTTCATCCTCATCACAACAACGTTATCATCCACATGTGAGATGAGTAAACTCGGGCACGGACACAGTCAATGGCTCGTAGATGGTGGGGCTGGCTTCAGATCCAGACAGTCTGGCTTCAGAACCTATGCTCCAACCCTACCATTCCCCTTCTCTGAGAGGAACAGACTGACCTTCTGTTCACTGCAGAGCTTGGGGTGATGAAATGCTGAGAGAAAAGTAAAGGAAACTAATTAGGTTTCTAAGGTGTAGATTCCAAAAGAACATAATACACATCAGCTGTTTCCTAAAGCTCTATCCCCACACCCTCTGCCAACACACCCACACCCACACACACACACACTGTTCTAGTAATGAGTAATGCCACTGAAATAACGTTTAATTGAACAAATACTCATTGAGCACGAGCTATACACGTCAGGACCTGTGCTGAGAACCAGGGGTCATACAAAGATGAAGAAGAGTTTCCTCCCTCGAGGACTTGACAATCTTGTCAACTTTCTCCCATATTATTATATCCAATCTTTTCTCTCTCTCATTAACCAGTAAATCAGTCCCTAGACCACACTGTTGTGGAGACCGGTAGGAAATCCCATGTCAGAGTTCCATCCAAGCAAAATCAAGTTCTAAATAAAGTTCATTTGGGAAATCACAGCTTCATCTTGGAAAGAAAATAATACATGGACGGAAGACGAAAAATGCCAGCAGAAAACTGAACTGGATGTTTTATATGTTCCCCAATAACTCCAAATTAGAATTAACCAAGACAATAGCCCCAGAAGACGGCATCTCTGTAGAGGCCCTTGTAGAAGGGGCAGAGGGAGTCTAGATGAGCTTCCATACACGCTCCCGCACTGCGCACCTGTCATGGGTCCACTGTACTGGAAACAGAGAGTAGCGAGAGTAAGCCCCACATCCTGCGCTGAAGGAACCTGCCTCCAGCACGGCTAGGTAACGTTTTGTTCTGATTCTCTCCTCTCCCTAGAACCCTGGGGGACCTTTTCCAACCTCCGCACTCTCCCCGGGGGACCATACCCAAGCCAAGTGTGCAAAGACTCAGAGCCCATCACACTTCTCCAAGCACAGCATCTCCCTGGCCACCGGGGATGCATGCTCTACTTGCTGGCGCAGCCCTGCTGAGAGGCTGATGGTTCAGCAGCGCCGTCCCACCTGCTGCCCCCCAAGGTGCAAACATTCAAACACACAAAACACCGAACCATCTCTGGCTTTGATTCCTCACCCAAGAGCAATTTCCAAAAACAGCTTCATTGTTCGGATCCATGAGATAAACCACGAAAGGCTCCAAAACCTATCAAGTATTTTCCCCCCTAACTTACTTGACCATCAGTTCGGGGCCTGTAAGACGAGAATTTCCAGACTTGGTGTTCAGAGAAACATAAGCTTCTGGGAAAGCTCTCACCTTTATCTCCTTTCCTGTGATTGGCTTCAACTTTCAAATCCTCGTCTCCTGGCAGAAAATTAGCTACTCGCTTATTATCACGTCAAAGGCAACAAGAAAACAAGGTCTCGTATTTACCTCCAGTGGGCGACATGTGGTGAATATAGACTTTGCCGTCTCTCACACTGTCCGGAGTCACCGACACCAAATGGTCCTTCCACACTTTGATGCGGTTGGAAAATCCAATGATATTGAAATGATCCTGGGGTCGGAGGTCGTGGAGAATCCTGAACAGGGCATCCTTGGTCTAAACCAACACAGAAGCAAAACGGGTCACAGCTGATCACCTTCATCCTCACGTCTCCTGGCTTGGAAACTGCACGCGGGGAGCAATGCTGGGGTTAATATTAAGTGCCTGAGATGTAAAGGGACTTGGATAAATGTCCAAGGAGCTCTGTCATCTAGCTGGAAAAACACTGGCGTGAACATGTTACAATCACAAATGGGGGCTTTAACATCTGAAGTGTCACAGGCTGCTGCAAGTCTTGCTCTCTCAGGCCTCCGTACCGTCATAGCGGTGATGGAAGGTTCTTTTCCTCTGCCTGACGCCCATTTGTCACCTGACAAGCTCCTACTCACTCTTCAAAACCCAGCTGATGTGCTATGGCCTCCATCTGAAACCTTTCCTAACTCCTCCAAAGAGAGCTGATCCTCTCTCCTCTAGGCTAGCACTGCCCTCAAAATACTCGTGTTATAAAGTGCATAATGACCCAGTCGTGATTATTTGCCTTTTATCTTTGTCCCTGACCGTACTGCAAGTTCTTGGCCAGCAGCTTCCAGTCATCTTCATATCGCCCTGTGCACAGGAGAGTGCCCGACACACAGGGGGCGTAGACGGTTCAGTGAACGAATGAATGCATACACATTTTACGAATTGTAAGACTAGAGGTATAAATAATAAACACCCCAAGAATTTAAAAGAGAATGAGAACACGGGGCGGGGCTGCTGCAGCGGTATGAGAAGACTTCACAGGGAAGCAGGAATAGGAGGGTAAAAGGAACCGCATAGCTTGGAAGACTAGGAAGGGCATTGTGGAAGGCAGCGAAGACAAGTGAGTTGAATGAGTAAATGAGAGAGAGAGGGAGGGAGGGAGGGAAGGGGAGGGAGAGAGAGAGAGAGGTGTGTGGAATGCCAAATACTTCCCAAATACAAAGGAAGTCAGAGACACCAGCCCCCACCCTTGAGAACCTCGGAAAGATAATCCTGAGAAGGACGATGCGTAGGAAACAGAACTGACTGCTAGATCATGTTGGAGTAAAAATCCATCAGATAACTACATTAAACAGATGTGGGGGGAGTGCCCTAAGCGTTGACCCGGTGTCAGCCAGGAAGCTGGCAGGACTCCGACTCCTCACCCTTCCTTCCACTCGGAGCCCACACAAGCCCGGTGTGAGCATCGGCCAGGCCCAGCCTCATCCCGGCCCCGCAGCCTAGACCTCTGGGAGGCCTGAAGGCCTGCAGCTGTGAGGCGACAGGACCACAGCTGACAGCCGTCCCTGAGACGGCCCCACTGGGAGCCCAGGCCCAAGGCAGGCACTGGGAAATGCTCGCGCTGCTCTCCGCGGGAGCTCGGAGCCGGCCAGGCACCACCGGCTGGCTTCGGGCTTGGACAAGGGGCAGCTTGTCGGGAGGCGGGGCTTTGTTCAGCTGCTGACATCCTTAGGGATCCTTATAACGTGCGCCAATGACCTCGAGAGGGGCCCGCCTGGCTTCTCGGCGGCTGTTTCCCTCCCGTTGTGATGGATGCTCTGCTTTAGGAAGAGTTCTAGCCTCTCCACCCTCCTCCCCTTCACTCGGCAACTACAGGTTTCTTAGGACCTTGTAAGGCCACAGCTGCAGCGTATCCTCACATGCACTGAAGGCAGGCAGGCCAGTGGGCTCACATGGCTCCGTTTCCAGTTGCATTGGGACCTTCTGGATGGCCTCCCCTCCCCCCCCCCCCCCAGGGGCCTGGGGAGAAGCGGCTACCACTGCCTACAGCCAGCACCGTCCTTGATTGCTCTGTGGGCTCCTGCTCTCCCCTTAGATGGGCTGACAGCCCTGGGCGCTCCGCATTCTTGGAAGGCTTACAAGGCAAGCAGAAGGTCCAGATAGGAGAGTAAATGCGAGTGGACTTCAGCTGATGTTTCTGCGAACTGTGTTTACATGCTGAAGATGAACACCAACCTCGCCAGACTTCCCAAGAGTACAATCCAGAGAACAGGGTAAGCACATTCCAGAAAGATCAGAGGAAGCCGGGAAAGGCAGAGAATGTGCAGTCTGAAGGCCTGAACTACCCTGGAGGCAAAGAGGTGTCACAGGAGAGGGGCTGGTCTAAACCCTTAAGGGCCTGGAGGATGACAATGGAGAAGACCAGTCGACTCTTCCAGTGCATGCGGATGGACAACGATAGTTACCACCTCTTCCCCAGGGCCCTCTTCCAATGAATGTGACCTAAAGGGAAAGACCCTGGATGTCCCAGCAAGCCATGTTCCTTGGCCTTCTTCCCCGCCCCCAAAGCCCCACTTACTGCCCTTGCACACTAGGAAGAAGCCTGCCCGCTAGAGACAGGTAAACCCCAAGACACACCACCTGGAGTGAGGATGCCCTGAAATTGTTACTAGGTGACCACCGGAGACTGTGCAAATGTCCTCCTTGGAGACCTTTTAAAATAGGCACATACAATGTATGATTATGTA